GTTTCTACTTCATGTAAGAAAATCACCAGGCATCAAAGACTTCTTATTGAGACAATGCAAGGAACTGTATATCTCACTTATATTAATCACCCCGATAAGGACAGTCCTGTATGCCCCCTTTTTCCTAAGAGGAAAGTGAGTTATTTCTGTCACTGAACCTCTTATAAGGGGTCAATACAGGACAGCTGCTTTCTATCCCATTGGAGATGTGATGGCCAATCAACAGGATCCTCAGACACTCTTATCCTGAAGTATTTTCTGCATAGGACCTGAAATACCCTCATTTGCAGCATTATTGTTTACAAAATGCATTTCTGGTCTAGAGATGCAGTTAAAGTGGTATAACTGTTTTTTTTCTTTCTCTTTGCTCTTAGAGAGCCCAACACCCAGTTCCCAAATAATCACATGGAGATCTATTTCTTCTTATGAATGCCCAGCCTTGGCTTATTTCTAGCCAGCCTCTTAAATTATCCCATCTACCATTTGTCTCTGGTTTTTATTAACCTTTCTATTTCTGTATATCTCTTCTTTCCTTCTTGTTCCATGTCTGGCTGTATAGTAAGCCCCCCAGCATCCTCCTCTCCCTATTCCTTCTTTCTTATTTATTCTCTCTGCCTGCCAGCCCAATCTAGTTCTATCTTCTGTCTAGTTACTGGCCGTGCAGCTATTTGACCAATCAGGTGTTGTAGACAGGCAAAGTAACCCAGCTTCACAGAGTTAAACCAATGCAACATAAGGGAATGGAACACATCTTTGCATCATGAAACAAATATTTCACCACACAGACGAATGTAACACATCTTAACTAAAATTCCACAAAATAGTTGACACAGTCCTTCTGTAGCAAGCAAGGGGTTCTGGGTTTGAACCCCAGTAGCGCAAGTAGTAAAACAGTGCTTTCCTACAGTATCATGGAAAAGCCAGCATCCATGCTCCACTATTTTTCTGTAAAATGGGAGGTTCATTAACTTTATGAATGTGAGGCTCATGTCTACCCATACCTATCACCTGGATTTAGCCAATCAGGTTTCTAAATGTCATTAAAACCCTAAGATGAAATTAATGTGATGAGATTAGCTTTGCATAAAAAGGAATCAGAAAAATGAAGGAGAGAATTTTGATTTCTGAAACAGAGGAGGCTTAAAGCAAAGAAAAAAGCAACAAGAGGGAAAGGAGTGAATGAATTCTGGAGGCAAGACCACATCTGGGTGCTGATGTAAGAATGCCAACATCTTGAGACCGGCCTTCCTTTGGCATCCCTAGGAACACTCTGTCCAGGGTACCCGGCAACTTCAAAGACTCCTGTGATTTACAAGGCTCTTAGCTGTCAGCATCAGGTCAGACAGATGCTGTCATTATCAGATTTACAAATGCTTTTTGGAGAAAGGAGAGGTGAGGTGTGAGGGACAGAGATGCCTGTCTTTGTGCTCCCAGGGTGTGGACAACTTTGTTTCAATGTCAGGTTCTCTTGTTCACCTTGCTGCAGTGTTCAGAGGTGGGGGTAGGGTGGGGTTGGGAATGGACTATGCCCCACCCCAGAGGGGCTAGCTCTCTCTTTCCCAAGCCTATATCCTTCCAAACCCAGGCCCAACGCCTGTGAAAATGCAAAGTTCACTCCCAAACTGTCTCTATTTTCTCTTATAAAGGCATTGCAAGTTTCTCTGAAAAAGTGAAAGTTCTAGGCAAGTGCCTTACCACTAAGTTAGAGTCTCAGATATTTCTGTAGTCCTTGTAATTTATTTATTGAAACAGAGTCTCACTACATAACTCTGACTGACCTTGTGCTCACAGTGATCTGTCTGCCTCTGCTTTCTGAGTGCTAGGATTAAAGGTATCCTACATCTGTCTCATTTTTGCAAACAGACTCACTAGGTTACTCTTGGACAATGTCATCTCTCAAGAAACTGGGGCCATAAGACTGAGACACCATGCCTGGCTTGCATTTTATTCTGGCAGTTTGTTGACATTGGAGTTGTGGGCATTTTGTTGTTGTTGCTGCTTTTGAGACAATGTTTCTTTCTGTGCTGACCTAGAATTTACAATATATTCAAGCTTGACTTGAACTCTTGCCTCAGACATGAGCCATTATTACTTATATTCCACAATTCCATTTTATAGTATCTAGTTACACAGTCATGATATCGACAAACCCCAAAATGCCCATTCCAAAACAAACCATTTTTGGTTAATTTAAAATTAGTTTGCCCATGACTCTGGAAAATCTGCCTTCATATAGCCATACAGGGGATTCCTCAAGGGGCAAAGGACTTCTGACCTCATTGACTTCTCGGTCCTCACTCCATGCTTTCTATTTGGACTCCAAGCTCTTTCCATTTAAAGGTGTGTGCAGAGTGCACGCCTTTAATCCCAGGCAGAGGCAGGTGGATCTCAGTTTGAGGTCAGCCTGGTGAACAGGTTGAGTTCCAAGGTAGACAGAGCTAGTTACACAGAAACAAAAATAAGAATTCCACTTGCTTTTTGCTGGAACCTTGGAATGACAGTCTGGACACTGAAGCTGTGTTTAAGTTTTTAATAGACAGGGTCTTCAGTGGTGATGCACTCATCTCATTCTCCCGAGCACTGGATCTACCAGCATGCCCCACTGTGCACTAGTGTGTTGGATCTGGATCCTGACTGGCATCTAGCATCTTCTAGGTTTCATGTGGCTTACTTGCTCTAGCAGAGCAACAGTGGGGACAGTAATGGTAGTTATTTCATGGAGCTTTCTGCTTTTTTCGAGACAGGGTTTCCTGTGTCGCTCCGGATGTCTTGGAACCTGTCTTGGAATCTAGCCTGCTTTGACTAGGCTAGATTTGAACTCTCATAGATGCACCTGCTGCTGCCTTCGGAGTGCTGGGATTAAAGGCGTGCACCACGGCAGCCAGGCTTATTTCAGGGAGTTTTTGTGGGACTGGTGAAGTAACCCGCTGAGTCTGGCACTGAAGTATAGTAGCATTTGATACTCTTTTCAGGGGCCCATCCTAGATACCTTTCTCCATAGCAACCTCCTGGTGTGGGCTTTCATTTTGTGGATTTTCTCTCGACTTTCCCTGGGTTTTTCTTCTCTCTGCTTCTTTGACCTCTCCCATATCGACTTGTACCATTCTGTCACCAGGCCGAGAAGTACTGTCCCTTAGGAAACACAAGTGAGCAAACACCTTGGTCCTCAAAGTTCGGCATCTCTGAACTCCACTGACTTTGCAGCACCCCAGGGCCTTATGCTCTCCCTTCCTCAGCCCATAGTGGAGCAGTGGACAGCAGCAGGGTCATCTTCTGACATTTTCTCCTGCTTCATCAGTGTCCCCACAATTTCTAGCCTCCCTTTAATCTGGCTAATTCCTTGTCCTTCAGTTTTGTGCCAGACACCTGTGCACACACATGCCAGAGTTAGGCACCTACTTTGGTGATGTTTTCCTCACAGCTGTAATGGTCCGTGTAGGAGACTAATGTTTATGTCTCCTGCTAGAGTATAAAACGTCCTAAGTACCCAACAATGGCTCTGTGTTCTCAGGACTAGCACGGGGACTATCATTTGTTCAATGAATGGGAGAGTGAATGAATTCTTCCTACTTGGTAAGCTCTGTGACCAAGCACAGCATATGACAGATTATTTTACCATTCCCTATGTAATTATGTATTTGTTGAAATAAACAAGAACACTACTAAAATCTAAAATCTTTGTGGATCTATACAATGCAAACCTTTTATCTGGCTTTTGGGCTTTGGGAACCAACAAATTTGTACTAATATAATGATACGTTTGGCTAAAAACACCTTAATAACTTTCTCAACTGGATGTGCCAGTGGTTCCAGAGGAAGGGCACGGTGAGAAAAATATTAGCTATAGAACACAAGTACCAAGGCAGCAGACTACAAAGATGCTGAGGAAAGCTGGAAATTCTGCCTTTGAGCACAAGTTCAGGTAGTGGCTGGGGCGGTGTTTGTGCTGATGGTTCAGGGGGAGGAGTCTTTCTTGCCCCACAGAAAAAATAGTTTGTTTTCACACAGCATTCCATTTCTAGAGTTCTTCCCTGAAAATCACTCAGGAACCTAGTCAGACTCAGGCACCCATCAAGAAACTTTAACGGGGACTGTGGAAATGTCTTAGCTGAGGCTCTGCTGCCAAGGCTCACCACTGGTGTTTCACCCCCAGAACCCACAAGATGTCCCTCTGACCCCTACACACACAGCCCACACCAGAATCAAATGGAAAGGCTCCCACCCCTTCACCTGCAATTGGGCAATCTCATCTTAGGCAAGCATTCCTCATGAATACATCCCTAGCCCTGAAGAAGAGGTTTTCTATTAATAATTTTAGATTCAGGGTCCACCGTGAAGTCCTTCAAATCCCTACATAGACCAATCTGGCCCCAAACTTGTGAAGATCCTGTTTCTGCTTCCCGAGTGCCCGGCTCCTTTTTCTGTTTTAAATTTAAAGCAGCACATGGGCAGTCCCCAACGAGAAGTTTCCTAGCAGAGTGGGGACATAGAGGAAAAGGCATGTTTGCTTCTAATTAGCCAGCTTTCAACTAGCCTCCGGGGGCGCGGCCCTCCTCCTCCAGGAGTCGGGTCCGGGAGGCCACTACAGGCCGCGGGCCTGCGGGGTGTCGAGGCAACCTAGGCGGCCCCACAGAAAGTCGGGAAACCGCGCGGTCGTCTAGCAAAGACGCTCAGGGCGCAGTTCTGGTAACCGAAACGTCCCGACTCCGAAAGCCGTGGGAAACCCCGCCCAGGGCTTCTCCGCTCGCTCCACGCGGGTGGGCGCGCTCTCGTGGTCGGCTGCCCCCGGTGTCCCGTCGATGTCAGCGCTTCGAGAAGTGGAGGCGCGGCCCCGGGTCGCGACGGTGGTGGCGAACGCAGCTGGGGACCGGGGCTTTAGAAGGGGCCTGAGTCCGCGGCGTGCTCTCCGTCCACAGGTAAGTGGGCGGCCTGGAGGGAGGAGCCGGTCTCAGCCCGAGTGGGCCAGGTAAGCCCTGGCGGAGCGGCCGGCCCAGGCGTGAATGGCCAAGTGGGCCAGCGACGGATGGGCTGGAGGCTTCCCGCTGACTTGCGCCTTCATCTTGCGGGGGAAAAAGGTCGCCTCCTCCCTTGTTTACCTCGCCAAGAGCCACCACACGGACACCCGCCTGGCCACTCCAGCCTTTAAGCCTGAGCCTTGCTTCCCCAACTTCCTTTGCTGGATAGTTGGGGTCCTTGCTCCAAGCTCCCAGATGCAACTTAGTGAAAAAGAGAACAAGAGACTCCGAGGGCACAGAGCGTTTGCACCTTGCACTGTGTGTCCAGATGCCGCTCAGAATAACAATGCAGGTGGGGACAGTAGGACAGAAACACGAAATGTGTGGCTCAAACCTGAACGACAGTTGCAATGTAGAACTTGAGACCCATGGCCTCTCACCCTCTGTTGCCTCTTCCAGTCCTAAAGAAGTCAGCTTCATTTCGAGGGGAGCTACAGGTCACCACCAGAGAAGCCCAGTTGTCCCTGAAAATGGTTTTCAACAGCAAACGGAATCCTCGACTCCGAAAAACATAAAGGCTGCCTGTGAGAAACATTCTGGCTGCTGTAGCTCTCCTCAGCCTAAGCCACACTATTCCCCTCCAAGGCTGCCCCAGCTGTTACCTTCAGCTGCCAGGCACCATTGGCAGTAACCTCTGAGCTTATGGATTCCTCAGTCACCACAGGGGTTCAGAGATTTCGAGATACCCTGAAAACACCATACAAGCTGGAATTAAAAAATGAACCAGGGAAAGCTGATTTGAAGCATATTGTTATAGATAGGAGTAATGCTACAGTTACATAAGTCTACTCTGTTCTTTTTTAAATTGTACGTTTACATTTTGCTGTCAAAATTTTTTTTTTAAAAAAGTGCCACCATTTTAGATATTAGAAGTTTGGCAGTTTGCACTGGGGCTACGTGTAGCTCTGTTGGTAGAATGCTCGCCTAGCATTCATGAAGCCCTGGGTTTTATCCCATGCACCTTATAAACTGGACTTGGTAGCCCCTTCCTGAATCCCAGCCCTGGGAAGGCCAAGGCTGGGGGATCAGAAGTTGAAAAACGTCAAGGCAGGAGTAAAACTATTGTACCTGTGTCCTCATTTCCAGCAGTGCTGCCTCTTATCATCACGTTGGGTTTTGGCAGCTCTGTTGGGGGAAACCCAGCAAATGCCCCACAGCTGCATAGATTGGCCAAAGTAAAACTGTAAGAGCCATTTGGGTACCTGTTGTACAAGACCGGCTCCAGGTCCTCCTTGTTAGTTCTTAAGCTGAGTGAGGACACAGAGTTTTAGTCGTGATTTTGAGGAATGCTAATTCTTTTGCAAAAACCTTTCTATATGTGCAAAGATTTCTCAGAGTGATGTTCAAGCAGTAAGAACACAGATGAGCTAAGGCTGAGCATATTAACGATGTTTGTGTGTGCATGTTCATGAGTATGTGTGCGCGCGTATGGATAGCAGAGGTTAATATTGGGCGTCGTCCTCGATTGCTTTCCACCTTGGTTTTTTGTTTCGGTTTCATTGTTGTCTTTGAGTTAGGTTCTTTCCCTGAAGCTGACTCCAGTTTGGCTCGATTGGCTGGCTAGGGACCTCCGAGATTCCTCCTGTCTATTTCTCTTGAGCAGTACTAGGATTACAAGTGTGTGCCACCACCTTCACTTTTACATGGGTGCTGGGGATCTGAACTCAAGTCCTCCTGCTTGTTTAACACACACGTTGCCAGCTGATCCATCAACTTTTTAGAGTAGTATCTAGTATTGCTCACTATTAGAATGTATAGTGCTGTTTGACCATGCCAGCGTGTGTTACATATCTGATCCCTTCTACTTTGCCCATAGTGTACTTCCCGGACACATGACAACCCAAAACACTCCTACATATTTCCCAGCCCTCTTGGATATAGTGCTGTTGCTTTTGAAAAATAGTGTTATCGCTTAAAATGAGCATGCAAGCTTTTATTAGTATATATTTTAATTGTTTTTTATTTATTGATTGTGGGGGTGTGTTTGTGTCTGTGTATATATACTACATGGAATGACAGCTGTGAACCACCTGACATGTTCAGTTAAGAACAGCAAGTACTCTTAACTGCTGAGACTAATTATGATCCTTATTACTTTAGCCATTCGTTTTATTAATGTGTAGGGGTAGGGGTACAGGGAAGTTGTGCACATGCATTCTGGTGCCCACGGAGGTCAGAAGAGGGTGTTGGATCCCTGGCCCTGGGGTTGCAGGTGGCCGTGAATTGCTTGGCCATTAGCTGGAAGCTGAACTGCAGCTTCTGGAAGAGCAGCTGGTGCTGGCAGCCGCTGAGCCAGCTCTCCAGCCCCTCACTAGCTTCGAACACTGATTCTTTCTAGAGGATTTAACTTTCTTTTGAATTTACTGATGTTTGGGCTTAAGAACAACACTTTGAAAAGGGATGTTACCCTAAGATGCATTCGCACTTAGTTAGATGTAGGTTCACCTGGAATGTTAGTGTCTTAGAGTTTCTGTTGCTGTGAAGAGACATTCTGATCACAGTGACTCTTCTGAAGGAAAACATTTCATTGGGGCTGACTTACAGTTCAGAGGTTCAGTCCATTATCATCGTGACATGCAGGCAGACATGCTAGAGGAGCTGAGAGTTGTACATCTTGATCTACAGGAAGCAGGCAGAGAAACTAGCTGCAACTTCTGATACCTCAAAACCCATCCCCCTAGTCACATGCCTCCTCCAACAAGGCCACACCTCCTCCCAGGCCACACCTCCTAAGTGGTGCTTCTCCCTATAGACCCCTGAGGGTCATTTATATTCAAACCACCACAGTTAGTAATCAAAGTTAACCCTTTTTCTGAGAGAAGAAATTGCTAGTATGGGTAGGACTTGACTCTGAGTTGGAACATCTTCAGATCAGATGTCTCTGTGCTGCATGAAGCTGGGGACTGAGTGTCCGGAGGACTTCCCTCAGAAAGAAAGTCCCGAAGGTGGAGATGCTGGCACTGGCACAGCCCCTCTGCTCCCACAGTGAGTGAGTGCAGGTAGACTGTTCTCTCAACCCCTCAGGTGCAGGCTCTGGACATGGCAGGCTTCCCAGAAGAGAGAGCTGCTGAGTAGAAGACTAGGACTTTCTTACTGTCTTCTTGTCACCACTTGTGACTTCATGGCCTGCTTGCCATTCGCGTCACCAGTGTAGACTACGTTTTAACTGAGACCAAAGATTTCCTAAATTTTTTGGTAGTAAGGATTGAACTTTGGTTCTTAGATACACTAGGCAAATGCTCTACTTGAACTTCATTCTCGGCCTGGCATGTTATTATTATCATTATTATCATTATTATTATTATTATTAATTATTATTTCTATTTTTATTATTATTATGTAATGCAATCTTCATACTCATTTCTTGGAGCAACAATTCGGCATAGCTTACATGGCATGAAGCTAGAAGGAAATTGTGCTTTTCTGGTTAACTCAGAAAGGGCTTCCCATAGTATTTCCCTGCACTCCCCTGTCTGGCCTGAGAGCCACTGCAAGCTAACTGTTGTCACCTAGCTCTCCTCTGTTTGAATGTGTGGACTGACTGCTAGAATGTGAAAAATAGCCGGGTAATTTAATTTGTCTCCAGAGGCCTGGAGCGGGAGTTCAGATCTCCCTGAAGAGCTGACACTCCTACCCTCCAGGCTCAGTGTTTTCCTGCATGTGAGGCTGGGGTCTATTTGGAGTCCCTAAAATAGAAGGTATTATTCTGTGCACTGTGAATATATGTCCTCTAGGTCAGGGTAGACCTCTAGTTGGCACTTCCCTGTCCACCACTCTGTCTCTATTGTAGAGACCAGAGGCAGCAAGGATTAACACACTTCATCAGGCTTAGAAGAAGAGTTCTCACTGCACTGTCTAACATTATAACAGGAGTTTGGTTCTTCTTTTTTCCCCCTTCCTGGGGCTGAGACTTCAACTCAGATCACACACATATCCTATATTGGTCACACCCCAGCCCTCATTTCCTTTTTCTGTAGTTTTCTTTTCTAGATAAATCTATATACCTAGAACCTTGAAGCACTGCTTAACTGTGGAGTCTTCAGACTGAAAATGCTGTGATCTTCTGTAGAGAGCACTGAAAACTGGTGCAGCCTTGGTGCTTCTGACAGCAAACTATTTGTTCTACTATTGCTTTATACTTAGATACTCAGGGTAGCAGAATTCCTGCCATCTGCTTTGGCTTCCTTTTCTTCACTGACCTCAAGTGGAGCTCTGTCCCCATCCATTCCTGCTGTGTGGTCAGCGGAAGATTTAAGGAGAGGAGGACAAGCAGGTTCACTGGATCCTGTGTGTGTGTGTGTGTGTGTGTGTGCTCTTAATTTGGGATCTTCATGTTAGAACTGGCAGGGGATCTCTGTGAGTTCAAAGACCAGCCTGGTCTACAGAGTGAGTTCCGGGATAGGTTCCAAAACTACACAGAGAAACACTGTCTTGGTAGCTTGCGGGGGTGGGGGTGGGGTGGGGAGGAATCAACTAACCGAACCAAAAGTGGCTGCCTTAACTAAAATAAATGAATATTTATTTATTTATTATCATATTTACTTACTTACTAGTTTATGTGTGCTTATGTCAGGGGAGTGCACACACCATAGTCCATGTGTGGAACTTTTGCCTGTGGAGCCGTATAGTCAGTTGATTTCCTTTTTAATGTGTATGAGTGTTTTGCCTGTGTATGTGTATGTGTGTGTGTGTGTGTGTGTGTGTGTGTGTGTGTGTGTGTGTGTGTTGTGTGCCATATACATGCCTGGTCAGAAAAGGACTTCTGATCCCCTGGAGTTACAGATGGTTTGAGCTGCCACGTGGGTGCTAAGAATGAAATACATGCCCGTTTGCAAGAGCAGTAAGTGCTCTTAAGTATGAGCATCCAGTTTCTGGTTTTGTACTTTGAAATGTACTGCCAGACTTAGGAGCTACATTTTTTGTGTGCCTTCTGAGCAAGAAGTCACACACTGGGCTAAGTACAGCCCCATTTCTGTCTCGTGTGAGTAGGAACTCAGCCATATTTGCCATCTACAACTGTGTGTGGCTGTTGTCACATTGCTGTGGTGGAATCGAGTGGTGAGACAGTGACTATGGTGACCTTTGCAGATTGAGAGATTCTGCCTTGTTTCTTACATGTTTTCCTTATTCCTGCCTTCTGATTCATTCAGTATGGTCCCCATGGTTCTAGTTAGTTTCATTTGAATCTTGTTTTCAAATTGTTCTTTTTAAGTTATAAACTCGGGGGCTTTTTAGTCCCCTGGAAAGTGGGTGGTGCACCCACACATCCTCCAGAAGTAGCAGTGACATTGGGCACTGTGGTAGTACAGCAAGGTCACGTCTTTAATCCCTGTCCTCAGCCATAGGCAGGCACATAGCACAGGCGCTGTCACAGCTACTGAGCCACAAATTCTGTGATAAAATTCACAAGTTCTTAGACGTACACTGGCAGTGAAGCACAGTGGTAGAGTGCTAGCCTAGCTCGTGCAAGGACCTGTGTCTCATCCCTAACACAGCAAACAGGCAGCACCCCACACAGCACCACAGCCGCACCAGGACATGACTCTAGAGTCACAGTAGACTAGATGTGCAGTGTACCCCAGTGGGTCAGACTTCAAGAGGTTGAGGCAGGAGGATCACATACTTTAAGTCAGTTCATTGACTTACAGAGACCACATCTCACAAAAAGAAGATAAGGTTTTTAGAGTCCATTTGTTAGACAGACATTAGAAACAGTAGTAGTTTTCCAAGTAGACTATACTGGAAACCCCTGTGATAATAAATAGATATTACAGCAAGCCTGCCACCCTCCAGCAAAACAGCGTACCCAGTTCGTCAAGTTCAAGAAAAAGACCCAAGACTCTAAGATACAGGACGGACTCAGTCAGCAGGTCTAACTTGGCATTGCAAAGCAGCAAAGTACACAACACTTTAGAAAAGTAAAAGCGTGTCTGTCTTGTTTCTGTTGTATGTGGTAAACGTAGGCTTTACATATGCCTTAACCTAATGAAATCTGTCCCGCGCTACCGTCTCGCCCGCAAGAAACATGCGGGACACTAGGATTCTTCTGCAGAAAAGCTTTAATGCGTCCTGAGAGAGAGAGAGCATAAGCTTCCAAAGCGGAGACTCTTAAATGAGGGAACCCATCCCTTATATAGGAAACAGTCCTTGCTTCGGACATGTCACCCTTGGATTGGTCCGCTGCCTATTATCCCAGATGATGCCTCGGGAGTAGGTGGGGACGCAGCAGTGGAAAGTTACCAAGCACGTGTGCATTACCTTGTTCACCTGGCAGTGAAACCGGATGCCAGCGCCATCTTGTAATGGAGTATGTGGTTGCGGTCCTCTACATCTCCCCTTTTTTTATTTCTATGCAGAAAGGCAACTCCCTCAGAAGGCAAAGATAGAGGTCGCACTTCCCAAAGTGGAAACATTATAATGGGCTTGCACGGAATCTGCCCCTAGGTTCATGACACCTGGAACTTATCAGGCCTGCCCTCTGCCATTTTTCTGGGAAAGGGAATATGCGGCAGGAAACCCTTATGCAGGGTGACATATCTCTCAGAGAGGGCCATTCTCTGTGCGATGCTCTTCAGCTCAACAACCTTCAGGGCTAGCTAAGCCAAGCACTCCACCCTGTGCCATGGACCACTGTCCTAGGGGTGCAGGAGCTGGTTGGCATAAACCTTACTGCTTCAACATAGATAGCCACACATCAGTAGAGGTTCCCTGTTCCAGGGCAGCCAGCGCTTGTGCAAATAACTGCTTTGTCCCTACAACTTTGGGATTTGAGTTAGCAGACCATCCAGAGGAGAAACACTATTCCACAGCATAGGGATGCTACAAACATTCCCACCCCCACCCATTCTTTGAAGTAGGAGATGAAGGACACGACCCAGGACTGGAATCCTACGGCCAAGCTTATAAATCATCTCTAGGAAGGTAGGGGAGCCCCAGAGTCTTATTGGTTGTAAAAAACCGAGGAAACACCACCACTCTATGGCTGACTGGTGTCGGCTTTGGGAAGGCTGAGAGTATCCCCCATTGCTGCTCCATCACAACAGTTGTCATCCATCCACAAAATGGCAGGAGGAACAGAAGCCAAATCTTCAGGCGAGTCCGCATGTTGTGGGTCACTTTTCACGGTTCGGATCAGTCTCTCTGGTACCAAGAATGGGTTTTTCTGATCCTGTGGGAACACACAAACAGCTCCCCTGGATCTCAATAGAATGGGATCTGGGCCTTTCCATTCATTAGAAAACACATCTTTCCATTTAACCAAATCCTTGGGCCGCTGCGGATCCGAACAATGTTGTGTTGCAGCATTTTGGCCATTATTATCCAGATTTAAAAAATTTATAGTGAACAGAGCCATGGCAATGGCCATTCTTGGCGTCGGGGGCAACTCCTTTATTATTCCCCCTTTTTTTCGTTTTTAACAAGAACTGGTATCAATATAGGCCATGCCCTTGTCATTGTTTAAAGGGTCATCCTTGCTACTTTCTCATCAAGTTCTCCAGTCCAATTACCTAGAAGATAACTAGACAATTGCTTAATAATCTGGGATTGCAGGGGCGCAATTCTCCAGCTGCATCAAGAAGTCTACCAGAGGTGTATTGGAAACTATGGGCTTTTTTTTCCTAGGCCGCACTCAGCAGGCGTAAACCTCGTTGGACATTGCCCCTTCAGGGAAGCCTCGCCGCCCGCCCCGGGCTCCGTGTATGGGGACGCAGCTTGCCAGCCTCCGTTGAGACCGTCCCCCGGGTACGGTGGCCTCGGGCTCCAGAGCCCGCCCTGCCACCCGAGGGCTGAGCGCGGCCCTGGGCCTGCTCGCTGCGCAGCTCCAGCTCCGCGTGTCCCGGGCCAGGAAGTGGCGGCTCCACCCTCAGGCGCCCCCACCTTCCCCGCGGGGCTAGCCTAGTTCTCCCTGGCTGTGTTGGTGGCAGCACACCTCAAGGTCCGCGCCAGAGTCACTGCAGCTCACCGGACAGATGGGAAAGGCGCCATAGTCACAGATTTAGCCAATGACCCTATCACCTTAAAAATCCAAGGGCTTTCCGCATCTACCTCCCTGCGGATACTGAAACATTAGATTTAAACCAAATAGTTGTGAGCTGTCATGTGGTCACTGGGGAATTAAACTCACAACCCTTGGAAGAGCAGGCAGCATTCTTAACCTCTAAGCTATCTCTTCAGCTCCTTATTCAGATGGAAAATTTCTAGGGCTAGTAGCTGGCATTGTTCGTCCCCCGTTGCCCCAGGCTATTGGTCTGCCTTTGTTACCTAGGATACTGCTAACCATGTTGATGCGCTTTTATTATGACAATTACGACCAGTCCTGTCTGAAAAGTCAGCACAGCTCAGCTCAGTCAAGTGGAGCAGAAGTCACTCCAGCCTCAGCTGCATTCATTCCGAGTCCAAACTGGTGCACGGAGTAAAGCAGAACTCAGAGAAGCAGGCTTGCTGCTCTGCAACCACTGAAAGGACCTCATTTAATCTTTCAGGGAATTTGGGCGTCGTTAGTCTCTCTGGCTACTTCCTGCTGAATTGGGACGTTGCATTCTTAGGGGTATTTACTACAACATTTCAGGAGGTCTCGGTGATTTAAACCACATAAATCCCAAGTATACCTTTAGGCTCTCATTTTCTGTGGAGACGAAAACAGAACCTCTTTTCCAAAACATCATATCCTTAGCAGTTTCTAAATTTAAATATCTTTCTCCTGTCCAGTACACAAGAGACAACACAAACAACATAACATATATCTGTCCTTTTTTCTTATTGTTGGTATCAGAAAGCTTTTGACCTTGTAGATCAGTCTCCCCCATTCTTAGAACCACCGGGGGGTCCTTTTTCCTTATTTTATTTTCTTGCGCGCGCACCTAACCTCTCACTGCACTTAGTTTCTGATATGCTATCCTGGACTTCCTCCAATACATTTCGTCCCTCTGCAACAACCGCCTGGCAGGATTCATCTTTTAAGCAATGAAACCTTTCCATGTCGGAGACAAGTCAAGCCCAAAATCGAAAAATCCAGGAATAGTCATACCTCTCTGAGCATGCAGACCTGCAGTTCTGAATCCTCCCTGTATCCTAGGGGTCTCCGGCGGTGCGAGTAGTGGTCAGGGTCTCCCGGCGTCCCGGGCTTTTCAGCACCAGATGTCCCATGCTACCGTCTTGCCCGCAAGAACCACGCGGGACACTAGGATTCTTCTGCAGAAAAGCTTTAATGTGTCCTGAGAGAGAGAGAGCATAAGCTTCCAAAGCAGAGACTCTTAAATGAGGGAACCCATCTCTTATATAGGAAACAGTCCTTGCTTCGGACGTGTCACCCTTGGATTGGTTCGCTGCCTATTATCCCAGATGATGCCTCAGGAGTAGGCAGGGACGCAGCAGTGGAAAGTTACCAAGCACATGTGCGTTACCTTGTTCACCTGGCGGTGAAACCAGATGCCAGCGCCATCTTGTAATGGAGTATGTGGTTGTGGTCCAATACAGAAATCATTCTTGCTTTCTTCCAGCCATGGTCTGAAAAAGTTCTTTAGATGCCGTGGGATAGCAATTGCAGTTGAATATTTTTGGAAGCTTGGCAACAGAAACATCATTGTGTTTGTCCCACAGTGGAGAACAAGGTGCGATCCTATTGTCACAGGTGAGGCCCAGTGACTTTTCCATATTTCTGGTTAGATATTTAATGAACTGGCTTCAAACTGCAACACAGGGTACTTAGAATAGAATCACACATGCGGGTAACAGATTGAATGACGAAATTCTGAATTGGTTCTGTCTGGTAAAATATCAGTTGAAAACTCATTGTGGTGGTACACACCTGTAATGCACTCAGGAAGGAGTAGAGGACCAGAACCGCCCTTGGCTACATGGTAGGATTTTTGAGGCTGTCCTGGGATAGACATGCTTCTCAATTGAGGAGTGTTGTAGTATAAAAGGGAGTGGTGAGGAAGGGTGGAAGGCTAGCATCACTGTTAGAAGTTAAGTGTCTCCACTAGAATGGGATTCGGAATATTTAAGTAATGTTTCTTTAAAATAGTCACTTGTCCAGTTTATTGTCCTCAGATAACATCTTTCCAGTAGTGTGATGGCTTATTAGGAATCATTTCTGTTTGCCATGTAGTACTTTGTGCATAACCTACAGGCCCCACACAAGAAGTTTGGACTTACTATGTTGTAACATACTCCAGAGAAACGTAAGATTGTTTTTGTCCTTGATCATCATAGACAAACAGGAGGAAAGGCTGTGGCAGGCACAGCACACGAGGGTTCCTAGAAAGGAGAGGTAGTATGAGGTGGAGGGGGGACATTTGTCCAGTTCAGAAACAGGAAGTGAAATCTAGTGCGGAAGCCAGTCCAGTCCACTTCACTCTGGAGTGTTCCCAGCTTCCTTTATTTGGGAGATGTCAGAACAGAAGGTTCTGGAGGAGTGAGTGGATTCACTCATTGACCAGCAGAGTCTTAGTGCATGCCCACTGGGCAGCTGTGAGGTGGGGAACCCCAGTGTGGGCAGGTCAGCTCAGGTCACTGGCAGCTGCTTAGGTAGGAAATGCAAACCCAGGAATCTTAGGTCTCAGCTTCTCTTGTCTGTGACTGCTTCCCACAGAAGAGCATCAGCCCTCCATCTTGTCACTAGTGTGCCTGGGACAGTCAGGCTTGTGCAGACAACTGAGACTAATTGGGAGAGGAGGCTACACTCAGACTGGAGTGCCGGCCTTTCTTGACTGGAGCAAAGCGGTTTGTTCCTGCTGCTGCCTCTGCATCCAGAGGACTCTTCCCCTCCCCACTTCCACCTTTGGGGGGACTCTTTCTGTATTCTACTTGTCATATGTACCTTTAGAAGAGTTCTTGAGGACAGCGTGAATTAATTACAGGCTTATGGTGTAGTCTCAAGAGGAAGTTAATATTGTTTGTTTGTTTAAAAATTACCCAGTCAGTTCCTATGCAGGGTTTGTCTGAGTATGAGTCTTACTTGATTTATTTTGTTTTTCTGCTTGATCTGGTAGTTAGTAAAATTGAGTCAATAGGAAAAGGAGGTTTTCTGTAAGTCCCCAAGTGAAGTATTTGGGTTTGCATTCATTTGTTTACACATCTGGGAAAGATAGCCTTTACTGAACACATCAACTTCTTCCACAAACAGAACAACATTTCTTAACCCAGCTCCAGGAGCTTGGAATATTATCTTTAACTTCTGCCCGCATGGTCTTTGGAGAACGAATCGCCTCTCATGAAGACAGGTATGAAGGACTGTTTTCCTTCCCAGGGTGGGAGTGGGATGGTGAGAAGCCAGCTGCCTGCCACCAGGCTGGTGTGCGCTCTGAAGGGACCTGCTTGCTCAGTTTTAAAACTTCATGATCAAAGCCACTACTAAGCTTATACACTCTTTGGGGTTAGGAATGGCACAGAAGACACCATTGTGTTAAGTTTGATTTTGTTTAATTTAGTAAAGGATGTCTGAAGTGAGAGAAGGCATATATATGTAGTTGGTTTTCCTTCTTATTCCTTTTACACACACACACACACACACACACACACACACACACCTTCCGAGACAGAGTTTCACCATGCCACCCTGCCCTAGAACTCACTATGTAAATCACAGATCTGAGTGAATCTCCACATTTCAGACCAGCCAGGGTCACCTGGTGAGATCCTCACCTCCCAAAAGGAGGAATTTGGATTCCAAGCTTACCCCGTGATATGTAGTTCTTGCAACTCTATTCTGGTGTTGTCGTGTAAGTAGTGACAAGCATGGTGTCTATTGCCCTTGGGCTGTCTGCCCCTTCTCTGCATTGTTCTGTGCATTCCCACCCCTTCCAGTGAAGGCAGTGCTTCACGTGTTACCCACACTGCTATGTGGTGGAACGGGAAAAGGTGATGTAGGAGCTCTGCAGACATTCCCTCACCAGTAGGAAAGAGATGGGCTTAGAAGGGGTGCATTCAAGGTGCTGTCAAAGAGCGGTGTGAGAAGAGCTGAGGGAGGAAAGCACACGGGTTGGGAGCTTTCTTGGGAATCTGTCCTGGAAGGGCAGTTCTTGTCCGCATTGTCACAGGCTCAGGAACCCCGAAGTGCTTGGGTGGTAAAGCAAGTAGGCCAGTAAGCACAGGAAAAGCCTTCAGACCTCTACCACCACAGCTTTTTCCTCACAGCCAAGGGTTTCAAACCCAGGAAAAGGCATGCTGATAAAGGTTCCTCTTGGTTTCTGTTGCTCTGGGTTTCAGAGAGCATAGTTGTGTGTCCTGGTGGGAAGCCTGACTTCTGCTTTTATTGACAGCACATAGCACCATTGACAGTTGTGCCTGTTAGAAGTGAACTGAAATGTTTATTAACAAGGACCTTAGCCAAGTGTGGTGGCTCCAACCTGTAATCTCAGCATTTTAGAGGTTGAAGCAAGAGTATCAGGGATTTGAAGTCATGCTCAGTTACATAGTGAATTCTAAGCTGGCCTGGAATTTGTGAGTTCTTTTTGGGAGTGAGGGTGGTGGTGAAAATAAAAACAAATCCACCTTCCAAAAGTTCCTAAGAGTTAGGAAACTGTTGTTTTCAGTCCCGCCTAGAAGTCGCTGCTACTGTGAAGAAGAGCGGCCACCTGCACCTTAGAGTCCAGTGATTGTAGCTTTTGTTTCACTGTCTTTGTTTGTGCTCAAGAAATAACACATCCATTCCTTTCACAGTTTTTGTTCTGTTTTGTGATAGAGTCCAATGGGATCCCCAGTTCTCCATAAGGTTGTGGGTGACCCCAAAATCACAGTCATGGTCATATAGTCTGCTTAACTGGACTGTAGAAGGAGTGCTGTCAGAGATAAAGGCTCCTATGTGCAGCATTGCTGCCTGACAGAAAGGGCCACTTCCTTTGGCTATGCCTGTGGTTACTTAGCAAGCCCAAAACTAACCTCCAGGCTCCTCCAGTCCCTAGTAACTTGTATGTGTTATGAATATCCAAGCCCCTGCTAATCTCACTATTCCCCTTCCCCTGCACTCTGCTTCCAGACTGGGGACCACTCTCTTGGGAATGGCAAACAAGCCCCTCTCGATATTCATTTTTCCAGCTTCTCTTTATTGTCATGTCTCTGGTGTGGGAGAATTGTCTCTATTCTGTCAATCATATTTTAATAAAACGCTGATTGGCCAGGCAAGCAGTATAGGCAGGAAAGCCAGACAGGAACTAGGGGTGGAGAAAAGAGACTGGGAGTATTCTGGGAAGCAGGACGCTCCCTCTGCCACTCCTGCGCAGACCACCAGAGAAGCAACATGTAACCTGCCCAGCTGAAAAAGGTACCAGGCCATATGACTAACATAGATCAGAATAATGGGTTAAGATAAGTCATAAGAACTAATAAGTAGCCTTATGGGCCAATCAGTTTATAATCTTATGGAGTTTTGTGAGTGATTTTTTTTGGGCCAATCAGTTTATAATCTTATGGAGTTTTGTGAGTGATTTTTTTTGGGTATGATGGCTGTGGGGTACCGGGTGGGACAGAAACCCCAACAAGCTCATGTTACATGTCCCACTGACCCCTGCCCCCCAACATACCTGAGAAGTAGCCATGGCCAGTCTGCTTTCTCTCTCTGCTCTGGGCTCTTCCAGATGCATCTGGCTGTTCTCTCTCTCCTATCCACACTGTAAAACCTTCCCCCAGCCATCCAACCACGTTGCAGCCATCTTGGGTTCTTTATTGTGCCCTCACTTTTGCTTGCCTCGCCTGTCAGGCCCTTAGTTTGATCCCAGCACCACAACATTTTTAAAATCGCAAAAGGCACTTCATCACCATGTGTTCTTTTGTAATTGAGCGAATCTATCTATATTTAGGCCAAAATAATGACGTTTTCTTAAAGCATAGCAGAAAATCGGTTGTTTTTTAAAAATTGTAGAGCTGACTGTCAACTAACATTGAATTAAACTCAGCTGGCTGAGCATCTGGAAGCTGAAGTATTTCACAGGCCTCTTACCTTTAGTTTGTCCTCAGCGCATGTCTTCATGCATTGTCACCACTGTTTATTGGTGGATCTGTTCTAGAAAATGTAGGAATCAATTGAAATCATTTTTTGTAGAACTCGACTGCATAAAAAAGGTGTTTTATAATCCCACTGGTAATTCCAGAGATGCTTATCATTTTATCCATCTTCAGTTGACAGGACCTAACTTCTGTGTATCCAACCTTGTTTAAAGCAGCTATTTTCTTATTTCGTTATATAGCCCAGCTTCTCTCAGGGAGACATGCTGTTTGTTCATTTTGAGCTCTCTTGTAACCAAAGGTTCCTGCTACACTTAGCGGACAAAACTGGGGGTATAATTGTAACAAATGATAACTTCAGAGAGTTCATGACTGAGTCGGTGTAACATGTGGGGCCAGCTTGTTGGGGAATCTGTCCCACCCAGTACCCCATAGCCAGCAAATCCCAAAGAAAATCACAGAGTCTACATTAGGTTATAAACTGATTGGCCCATTAGCTCAGTCTTCTTATTAACTAATTCTTTCATCTTACGGTAACCCATAATTCTTGTCTGTGTTAGCCATGTGGCTCAGTACTTTTTCCAGTGGGGCAGGTTACATCTTGCTTCTTTGTGATCTAGGCAGGAATGGAGGAATAGATTCCTCCTTCCTGGAATACCCCTGTTCTCATCGCTCCGCCTCTACTTCCTGTCTGATTGACCCGCCTATACTTCCTGCCTGGCCAATCAGTGTTTTATTAAAATACATGATTGACAGAATACAGATAATTCTCCCGCACCAAGTCGGTGTCCTGGAGAGAAATTATTATGAAAAAGTAACCTTTTTTTACTTTGCTTTGGTTGGGAGTTTGGTGTTTGCTTCTTGTTCACATTTGTCTGTGCTGCTTGCCAGATGGTAGACCCAGGAGAGGGTGAAGGAGGGTCTCCTAGGAGCACTTGTAAGAAGGGACCTCATGCCATCTGAAGTGTCAGCTCTGGGTACTGTGATTCTAGCAGGAACATAGCACAAAAGCAATATGCCAAGGGAGGGGCACCTAACTGTGGGCATGGGCAAGTCTAGTTTTCGTGGCTGGTGTTTTCCATGAGTTTAGCGTGCAGCTTATCTTGTTGCTGCCGCTGTGAATGTGTTCAGTCGTGAACTGCTGACGAGTGGTGAATGACTTGACACTCGAGCAGCTGCTTCCCACAAGAAGGGATAGTACTGTGCTGTGGCTCAGGGATAAGGCAGATCTGCCGTGGATCTGAAGCATATAGGGAATGTGCAGGACAGTGCAGGTAAGCAACACATTTAGACATGCGTGTCTCTCGGATTTCATTCGACCCTTGTCTCAGACTTACAGCTTGCTACATCTTAACAGGGTTTCTTAATGCTTGGGCTGATGAGATGTGCCAAGCCTTGGAGGGTCCTGGCCTTGTTATCATTTCTCTGGGATCCTTTGGGTTTTATCACACTGTTCAGGTGTTGACTGGGGTCAAGGACATGGCAGCCTGGTGTATGCTTTCCCAGTCCAACTCCTCAACCCAACCTCTTCTATGGGAAATCATCATGGCGTTTTAGGCCTCAAGACCTGTGTTTGAGGCTGTGTGTGGGCCCCATGCTGAGCTGAGGACCAGGACAAACTAGAGGTGACTTCTTTGCTACCTGTTCCACTCCTTCAGTAGCCTGGTGGCAGGATCAGCCCTGCTGGTCCTTTTCCCTCTCACCTAGTATCATTTTCAAAGTGCCTGGTGGCAACTAGCTATCACTCCTTCATGATGGGATGCTGCTAATGTTAATGGAGCTTTTGCAGGCTGTCAAGCTTCTGACGTTGATGACACTGTTAGCCCCTGTTCACAGCTACAGATGAAAATGGTGCGAAGTTTTAAGCAGGACAGGTGTCCCTGGATGCCTAGACAATACTATGTGCACACACATTCAGAGCACACTTGCCCCACCCAGACCTCACTGGAGACAGGGATTCCAGGAGCCTCTTGGAGTTGCCCGTGCCCAGAGGGATTCCTCTCCCCAGTCAGCTGACACTGCCCAGTATAAAACCGTCCAGATGAGCAGGGACCTTGCAGAACCAACAACCGTGGCCTACTCTCAGACAGCTAACTGGGAGGGGCTTTCCATCCCAGAGGTGCTTGTTCCCCCATTGGTCTGGAAATGGTGCCAGATGCTCTGTGAGCCACTCCGTGGGGGTTGATTTCACATCCCCTTGGCTCTCTGGCCTTCAGAAAACATGAAACTTGCTAGCATCTAGATCCTCTGTGTTCCATATGTGCTTTCCAGGGTTTCTCACTGCCACTCTCACCATGATCACTTTATCCACAGAGACATGCAGCTGCTACTCAATGCCCTTCCAAATGTGGGCACGTTCGATCCTGGCTTTCAGAGCCCCAACACCCAAGTAGCCAACACCAGCCACCAGCCTCCATCCCGGAATCAGGGAGTCTCTTCAGGCCCTTGGCTTCCTCAGCAGCCCCACTTCACACCCCTGGCCACCGTTCCCAGTATACAGCAGAACCTTCTCGTACCAGCACAGAGATCTTCCGCAGAGACCAGCGAACTGAGGGTGTCCCTGCTGAAGATCTTCCCTGACTTTGAGCAAAAACTGAAGATCGACCAGATCGTGGTAGCTCATCCATACATGAAAGACCTGAATGCCCTTTCTGCCCTGATATTGGACTGAAGGCTGGGCTGAGAGCCCACTGCTGATGGGGAACAGAGGGAGCTGCCAATTATGGAGTTCCGTAGTGGGGAGAAGCTCTCCAGAGTGCACAGTGCTGCTCTCAGTAGGAAAAGGGAGGAATGTGTTTTAGGTATACAAAAATCTGGATTTTCAAAGCCAGCTTTTTTCTATATATAAATTATGCTGCTATTACAGATTGAACATTTTCTGTAAAAGGAAAGTACATTTTCTGCCTGTTCAGAACTGTTTAATAGCAGTTACTCTTGAGTGTATTTACAACTTTATGGTTTTTAAAATATTTTCCTTAAAGCTGAAGAAAAATTGACAAATGAATATGGTTAGCCTTTCTAAACAAAATTGAAAAATAATAATAAAAAAAAGGAATTGCTTCCTTAAGGAAGGCAAGTCCTCTTAATGTATATTTTCTTGAGGTGATCTGTTCTGTCCACTCACATGGTGTGTGCTCCTCTGCCTTCTTCCTTGTATCTGACCTGCTCCACTCTTCTTGCTCTTCTCAGCAGGCCACCTGTGAGAGTGGAGAAGTGGAGCCACTAGATGGCACTTGGTACCTGGCTGTAGTCAGTGACAAGACAAAGTCAGACTCAGAAGAGAAGGGTTATTAGTCTCAGTCCATTCAGCCCCATCCTTCTTCCTCTCTGCTGGACAGAGAAGGGAACTGAGTCCCATCATACTCCCTGATTGACCCAGCTCCCTAATGCCCTTTCCAGCTGAGGCTGTCATGTTCCTGATCTGATTCCACAGCTACTGTCACCTCAGAAGGTGAGTGAGGTAGGGTTGGAGAGTCTGCTAAGGAACTCCCTTCTATGGCCAGCATGAGTCCACAACCCACAAGTATGGGGAAGAACCCCATGTGGAGTTTGTACAGCTTTGCCAAAAAGTTTTCTATTCTCAAGGATGACCCAAGCCAATAAATAGCATTAGTAGTTTCAGAAGGGGTCTCAAAGCCCTGCTGTTTCCCTCTTCTGTCTTTTAGATGTCTCTTAGCCTCCCTTCCTGAGTCTTTTAGAACCAGTTATCTCAGTATCGTCTTCTCTCAATGTAGCTTGAGTTCTGTGTCTGTGAAACATTTCCTGGTCGTTCTTAGCATCTTGACTCTCACCTAGACCTTTTAAGGGCTCTGTGTTTTCCATCCGTGCTGTGTCCCAGTCCTCATGGTCAATTCCACAGCTCTGTGGATTGTGTCTTTCTCTTGGTCCCATAGTTGGTATCTGAGGATGTGGTGCAGGGACTATGTAGATCCCAGGATGCTGTCACCATGCATATATCTTGGTTTCATTTGATCCCTGTATCCCTCAGGAGATGATACAGCTTTCTAGGTGGCCACAGAAATTCAGTCATGTTCTCCTGAATTCATTGACGATGTAACCTGCTGGGGAATCATTTGTCATCTGTCACTTAGGCATTTGAGACCTGCAGGCAATGACAGTAGAAAACAGACTTTGCAAGGTACAGGAGTAGACTCACTAGAGCCTTGTGTCCCAGCTTCTGAGAACAGTAAAGGTGCCAAGGTGGATCTGTCCCCAGGACCTCCTGGTCTGCTCAATCCCAGTCTAGCATTCCCGAGAACCAGGAGAGTCAGGGTGCTCTGTATGTAGAGCACAGTTGCCACATCCTGATGCTTGCAGGGAAGAAGGAGCATGAACTTTCCCAGACTCTACAGGCAGATTGACTTTGTTGTATAGCCTCTGTATTCTTAGTATTGTTTCTGAGATACCTGACCATGTACCCTTCCCCATATAGGAGGGAAGAAAAGTTGGAGAAAATCAAGAGGCATTAATTACTGTATAGATTATAATGTGAACTGTAATTCTAGACTGTCTGTGACATTCATCACCTTTAGGTGTAGCATTCAAATCCCAGTTATCCAGCCACTGAAGGAGGCTCACGACCTGCTTCTCTGCCTCATCCAAAGCTCTGTGGCTGTTAGGTGCTTGTTGATGCTCAGCCCCTATCCCTCAGTGCCTCCACAGTGAACTTTGGAGTGTCTTGGCATTCCTCCCTATGTGGAATGCCTCTGCCTCTTGCATATCCTGACATTTTGGTGAGGTGATCAGTGTGGCTGAGGCTGATTATTTTGGTTATTGGTCAAGGTATCTGATGTTTACAGAGGTTGAAAGGATAGCAACTAGTGTAGCTGATGGACTTCCAGCCGCTGTCTTCCTTTCTGGGTGTACTTCTTGGATCCAGAATTCAACTTCATGATTCTCTTCTCATTGGCCTTCCAGTGTGAATTTAGAGAATCTGTCTCCCACCAGTTCTGGAGCTCATCGGTTCTCCTAGACTCCATCCTGAGACTCTCAAGAGTAGGGATCACCACTGTGTGCTAGTGCTGCTGACTTTATATGCGGGTACTGGGACACAAATGTAGGTCCCCACTGTTGTCTGACAAGTACTCTGCCAACCGAGGAATCCCCCCAACACAATCCCTAGTTCCACTTTCTTAGTCCCTATGTTTGCCATGATTGTCACTCTCTGTGGCTCTTATGACCTGAGTGTTCCTCAGAATGTGGAGGTCCACATCCCAATCCCCGTGGTGTCTGTCTATCCATGTTGATGTGACTTTGGTCTGTGCTCTGAAAACAATCATGATCCAAGATGAAGAACAATGTAGTTTTCTGCCTGTTGGTCAGAACTGTCACCAAAATACTAGAGGTTTGACTGCATGGAATCAGCCTGTCTCCTAGCCTTTTCCTTTCTGCCAGAGACTGTCTCTTCTGAGGCCTTCAGGTCCTCTGTTGCTAGTCTCTCTGAGCTTTTGGAATTGAAGGTGACCATGGTGTGCATTGACACTTCTCCTGTGATACCATTTCTCCAGTTTCTGACACCTCTTGGCGTGAATATCTGCTAAGAGGGACCCAAGCTACACAACATAAGTGGCAAACATCCACAGTAATTTTAAGTTCAGAGGAGATCCTTCTTTCACTTCCGACACCAAGTCTTGCTGTGGGATAACCGTTTTGTATGCTGCTGGCTGATGAAAAAGCTGATTTGGCCTTTAACAAGTCATAATAAATCTAGGTGGGAAAGCCAAACAGGGAGAAAGAAGGGCAGAATCATGTCAGACAGGGGTCAGAACCCAGGACGCAAGACACAAGCAGACAGGTAAAGCCACGGCCACAGGGCAACACATAGATTAAACAAAATGGATTAATTTAGCTGTAAGATATATTTAGTAATAAGCTTCAGCAATAGGCCAAAATTTGTAATCAATATAACCTGAGTGACTATTATTATTATCAGTTATATTTTGATACAGGGATTCTCTGTGTAACAGCCAGTCCTAACTGTCCTGGAAGTAACTTGTGGAACAGGCTGGCCTCTAACTCACGGAGATTCACCTCCCTGTGCCTCCTGAGTGCTGGGATTAAAGGTTTGCACCACCACCTCTCAGCCTAGAGATTAATTCAAAGCTGGTACTGGATGGTGCAGTCCAGAGAAACCTCCATTTCCAACCCCTCCATGAAATTTGTAAAGTGGTTTCAGGATCACCTTAGTCAGGGAGTGTTGCCCCAGCATGCTTCAGTGTCTGATACAGATTTGTAGCACTGGACAGATGAAGAGGGAGGCCAATACCTGTAATGTCAGCACTTGGCAATAGAACAGAAAGAGCAGATGTTTGAGGACACGTGGGGCCTTCATTGAGCTTCAGAATGGGTCACTATCCCTGTCTCAAAGAATCAAAAATCCGAATACTTGAGACACACCAGTCCACAAAAGTTCAATTTATTCTTTATTCTTTCTCCATTCTCTCTCCTCCTTCTCTCTTCCCACCACTACCCTGTATGTGTGCCTGTGTGTGTATATCTGTGATTCTTTTTACATGTATATGGATGTACTTGTGTCTGTGTGTATGCATACATTCCTTTAGTATATATGCATATGGAAGCCACAGGAAATCTCAGTGTTTGTTCCTAAGACACTTTCACCTTGTTTAATTGAGACAGGTCACTCATTTACATCAGGTCTCATGGTTTCTGCTAGACTGGTTACATTCACCTTGTTTTCTTGACACAGGTCGCTCATCCATATCAGGTCTCGGTGATACTTCTAGGTTGGTGGTATTGACAGTGAGACCTAGTAATCAGCAGATGACTGCCTTGCCAGTGGTGGATTCCAAACATATGTCACCATTCATGTTTTCCAATGGAGAGGGGAAAGACAGGAAGTCAGAAAACATGCTTGCCTAGCAAGCAGTGAACGGACACCTCTCTCTCAAGCTTCCTTTGCTTGTTCAGGAGAGGGTTTCTCTGTAAACAATCCTTGCTATTCTGTAACTCCTTTTGTGAACACGGCTGATCTTGAACTCACAAAGATCCCCCTGCCTCTGTCTCCTGAGTTTGCTTCCTTTGCTTTAGTTTTTATGTTTTCCCTAGTTGCTCTGATGTCTTTTTGTGTGAATTTCCTGAGACAGGTCGGTACTGATGGCTGGACAACTGAAGCAGGGACATCTAAGCTGAAGGCACCTTCCCAGGCCTCTTTTTTTGTTGCTATTGTTTTTTGTTTTCTTGACCTATATAAAAGTTTTTCAATATGGTTTTAGCTTTACATTCCTTAAGGCCTCCTTCTCATTTGGCCATCCCAGAAATTGGTTTCTTCCCACCAGTGAAAGCCCTAAAACCATGTGACCCTGAGCACAGAAGACCTTCCTAGCTACTTCCTGGACTGCTCATGTCAATGCAGTCAAGAAGCATCGGGTGTGACCATGCTGTAGATGTGACATGTTTGTGTGCTTTGAACACAGCTACCAATAAGACATAGGTGCTCTGAAGCACGGAGCTGCTTCAAGAGTCAATGCCAATGTTTTTTGGCATTGGGAAATAGTTCTGAAAAATACCAGCCACGGTGAAATCAAAAAGGATTAGAAAATCCTGACTGAGAAGTTTTGCTGCAATATTTCAATTCACTTGGGATTGGATACCATAGGTTTATATCAGTGTCGGGGTTCAGCCCCAATATAAGCTATCTCCCTGGGCCAGTGT